GGGTGTGTGGTTGTTGATGGAAGGTGTGTGGTTGTTGATGGAAGGTGTGTGGTTGTTGTTGATGGAGGTGTGGTTTGTTGATGGAGGTGTGTGGTTGTTGATGGAGGTGTGTGGTTGTTGATGGAGGTGTGTGGTTGTTGATGGAAGGTGTGTGGTTTGATGGAGGTGTGTGGTTGTTGATGGAAGGTGTGGTTGATGGAGGTGTGTGGTTGTTGATGGAAGGTGTGTGGTTGTTGATGGAAGGTGTGTGGTTGTTGATGGAAGGTGTGTGGTTGTTGATGGAGGGTGTGTGGTTTGTTGATGGAAGGTGTGGTTGTTGATGGAGGGTGTGTGGTTGTTGATGGAGGGTGTGTGGTTGTTGATGGAGGTGTGTGGTTGTGGAGGTGTTGATGGAGGTGTGTGGTTGTTGATGGAGGTGTGTGGTTGTTGGAAGGTGTGTTGTTGTTGGAAGGTGTGTGGTTGTTGATGGAAGGTGTGTGGTTGTGATGGAAGGTGTGTGGTTGTTGATGGAAGGTGTGGTTGTTGATGGAGGGTGTGTGGTTGTTGATGGAAGGTGTGTGTTGATGGAGGTGTGTGGTTGTTGATGGAGGTGTGTGGTTGCTGATGGAAGGTGTGTGGTTTGTTGATGGAGGTGTGGGTTTGATGGAAGGTGTGGTTGTTGATGGGTTTGTTGATGTGGAAGGTGTGGTTGTTGATGGAGGTGTGTGGTTGTTGATGGGGTGTGGTTGTTGATGGAAGGTGTGGTTGTTGAGGGGGGTGTGGTTGTTGATGGAGGTGTGTGTGGTTGTGTGGAGTGTGTTGTTTGGAGGTGTGGGTTGTGGGGTGTTGTGGAGGTGGGTGGTTGTGGAAGGTGTGTGGTTGTTGATGGAGGTGTGTGTTGTTGTGTGGGGTGTGGTTTGTTGATGGAGGTGTGGTTGTTGATGGAGGTGTGTGGTTTGATGGAGGTGTGTGTTTGTTGATGGAGGTGTGTGGTTGTTGATGGAGGGTGTGTGGTTGTTGATGGAGGTGTGTGGTTGTTGATGGAGGGTGTGTGGTTTGATGGAGGGTGTGTGGTTGTTGATGGGTGTGTGGTGGATGGTGTGTGGTTGTTGATGGAGGTGTGTGGTTGTGGAGGGTGTGGTTGTTGATGGAGTGTGGTTGATGGAGAGTGTGGTTGTTGATGGAGGGTAGAATTTTTGTTTTTAATTCAGAAACATTAATTAAAATATATATGAACAGCAAATAAGTATGCTTTCATTCTTGGGTAGAAATGATATGTTTTCACATTTTGGCAGATCGTCAGATCAAGCATAGTTGGTTGTTCCATTTAATAACATTACAAACAATATTAATTTACATTAATTTCAGTCACACCAGGGTCTTATTTTCTTCTGTTTTATATGTAGAACCAATCAGTCACTGGGTGTTAATCACTTGAAAACAGTGACGCCTGATTTCTCGTGTGTTTTAATATTCTTCATATTATTAATGAATTGTATTGTTTTGTACAAAATTAAATTAAATCAAAGACATTCAGTAATAAACAATAATGAATCTTTTGTACATAAGTGAAATGACGCTGTTTACGATTTGTAACATCTGAACGTTGGCGGACTCAAACCCGGCTGTAAATTGGTGCTCATTGTACTTTAAATGGAGTTTAAATAAAAAACAAACATCAAATTAAAAACTCCTGAACTTTAGAACTCCACATTGTAATCCTTCAATATATCTTCAAAGAAACCATGAAGCAGGAAAGTGGTGCTAGTGCCAAGCATAAGCACGTCACTATCTATCCAGAAAGGGTGATTTTCCATGGTCCGGCACTGGTCAGTCCCGAGGTTGCCGAGATTAGAGAGGTAATATTCATGTTACAATAGCATATTTAGGTACTGCAAAATCTAACACAATTGTTCAAAGGTTGTTTGTTAACCTGAAAATTAGTTCACGAAACATTGTTTCAATGGGATTGGGTACTTGGTCCAGCTCATCAAAAATTACAAAGTAAAAAAAATGTGCAGTAAAGCACTTACGGAGGTGGATGTAGAAGGCCCTGTTGATGATGCTGATGAATTTGAAGAGGGAGGTGGAGGAGAAGGAGAAGAGAAGGGCGTGGGGGGAGGAGAAGCATTTACTGTTTTGAAGGTGTTGAATCACCTTCCATAAAAATATCAAGAACCTCTAGACTGACAGATTCTCAACAGGAAATCCTCTTTCCATTTTGAAGTGGAAGGCTGAGGGAGTAGCATCTTTCTCTTGCTGCCTTTTGGAGAAAAACTTTCAATTTTTTGTTTGTAGGGGCATTTCTCCTCCTCATCATTAGTTGGTTATTGAAGAAGGAGAGCACTTTGTCCTCAACAGTACACAAAATAGGTTCTGTTGTTTCCCATGGGGTGCCTTGAGAGCCAGTTTCCTAGACATCTCCCAGTAGTAGCACCATCCTTCAAATCAGAAGACATATGGTGTGCTTACACTTTCCTCTACTGTCAGCTTCAACTTATCTCATCAGTTGCTGCAAGTCTTCAGGAATAAGTTCCTCCTCATGAGACATCACAAGCTCTTCACATCATCCTCCCCCCACTTGAGGGCCCAGCCAGTGACTGAGCCAATGGACACAATCTCCTGGTCCAACTCTATTTACTTCCTCAAATCCCTCAAAATCATGGACTGCTGATGGCCACAGTGCTTTCCATGCAGAATTGAGGATCTAGTGAAACTTCTCGCACATTAGGTGCAATCAATTTACAAGCCTCCAGGATGTTGGTTGATCTTCCAGAACTATTACGCAGTGTTAGTTCAGGATCAGTGTTGCCTGATGACACCTCTTGGAACATTTCTTCATGTACAGCTTCTTGAAGTTGCTAGTCACATTCTGGTCCATTGACTGCTTATGAACCTTGATGTGTCGTGCTGGAGAGCCGCTCTTACTTTGACAAAGAGTCAAATCAAGCCTCCAAAGAAGTGCTGGCAGTTCAGGGTCATGACCAGGGGCATTATCAGAAGGAGAAAAGTCTTTAAAGGGAGTTTATTGGTGGTTAGGCTCTTGACAGAAGACAGAAACAGCCCATTCATTAAGAGCTGTCTTGTTACCCCATGCCTTCACGGTTTGGATTTTAATAAACTCCAAGCCAATTATACCACTTTTTGTTTAAATTGGGCCTCTGGGGTTCTCAAGGTGGTAGACAAGCTCAGGCTTCAGTCGGAAATCCTGAAACTTTGGCACCAAACATGGATTGAGATGGTCCTTCATGGGTTATGCCCAGGTAAAGAGGCTTCATCTCTGGTGATGAATGTTCTTTTGGGCATTTTCTTCCAGAACAACTCAGTTTCGTCACATTAAACACTTGCTGTGGAGAGATAATTTTCTTCCTCCACCAGCTCCTTAAAGTCCACTACAAATTTTGTTGCTCCTTCTTTATCTGCACTGGCAGCCTCACAATGCCTTATAAGTTTTAATAGCACTGAAAAATGTCAATTCTTTCTTAACTTTTTGAACCAGCTCTTGCTGGCCCTAAACTCTTCAAACTCTGTGCCAGAGAGGCACAAGGTTGCTCTTCTTTCAAATGTTCGTAAATTTCCCTGGCTCTTTCTACAAATAAATTCAGTCAAATTGAATCTCCTTTCATTTGTTTTCTCCTTAATCAAATCAGAAAGTAACCTCTGTTTTTGCAATTAAGGATCTACCTTCTAAACTTACTTTGGTAGATTTGTCTCTCCTTTCACTTCCTTGAACTTGTCTTTCTGTGCAAGAATTGTTGACTTGTGATTGATGCATATGTCTATTCTTTACTAAAGCACATTTGTTCTAATGCCTTCTTCATGTTTCTTTGCGATTTCCTGTTTTACCTGGATTGAAATCGCCTTTCTGAATTTCTTTGGACCCATGCTGGATTCAATAAAAATTTCACCACTAAAGTTTTAAGTTTAATTGCTGTAAATAAAATTATTTATTTAAATCAACACTTTTCATATATATTATCAATATATTATAATTGTACTGTAGAAACGTAAAAATGGTTTTATGTTCCAATAGGAGCCACAAGCAAGATGTTACCTCCACTGACCAGAATACAAACTGACTCCTTTGTGGGTGAGTCAAGTGGCTGATTGGCACACTAAAACTAGTTTCCTGTACTCCGAGTTATGTTAAATAAGTGTTAAAATGACTCATAATTTAATATAAAACTTCGAAAATATTTAATAGCACAACCTTCTTGATATTTACATAAATGGAATGAATTTAAGCCTAGAACCGATTACTGTATTGGCGGACTAATATTCAGTTGGTGAGCAAAGAAAACATGTTGACATGATTTTCATATGAATTTTGTTTTCGTTAAACAAATTTTTGTTCGTTAACCGAATTGAATATTCTTATGGAAGGTAATTGCTAACCGAGGCGTTCGTTAACCGAGGGACCACTGTACTATTAATATTATTATTATTATTGTTACTACTACTCCTATTGTTGTTGTTATCATTATTATTATTATTATTATTATCATCATTATTATTATTATCATCATCATCATTATTTTCATAATCATTACATTTTCACCCTCCAGGCCCTGATATGGGTCAGTCACCTGCCGTTGGGCTAATCCCTGTAAAAAAAAATAATAAGTAAATAAACAAAATTAAGAGAGGGAAAGATTGAGCATGGATTGGAAAGATGAGAGATGGTATAGACGCAAAGTGTAGCAGTAGAAGGAGAGAGGTAGACCTTACAACTGTACCTCAACTTGTTAAGACCATCTGTGGTGACGAAAGACTTGGCCCATACTGTTGGACTCACACACATGTGGTAAAGTGGAAGCAGTCAGCAGAAAGTGAAGTATTATCTCATAGTAAGGAGAAGGTCCCAGTATTCTGACAAAGGGAGAGCAGGTTGTGCCTCAGGTGTGGTGAACTACAGCCCTCAGATATAACACCAAAGAAAGTTTATAGTTGTTAAAAGTTTTACTTTTTATCTTTAATAGATACAACTTTTTTTATAGAAATATAAAATAAAGTGTTCAAGTGCAACACACTTGCACCTTGGGCATTTAATAAACATGATTGCATGTGAGAGTCATACCTCTTATGTTTCAGATAATGCACCTGTGAGCAAGGGCTTGATGGGGTGTATGTTTCTTACCTGCACTGCACTCAATGTCCCACTCTTGGCACACCTCAGGAAATATCTCATATGCAAGCTTCCAGATGTCTTTTTAAAAGGAGAGGTTTGTATGATGTCGCTTCACATTAGTCTTTATTATACAGACTTATTATTTACTATTAGTTTGTACTTTACTTTTATTTGGATATATTGTACTGTACTCTACTGTACCATCCATGTCAGGTGGTCCACCTCCCAGGCAAGTCATCAAATTAGATGACTAATTAAATAAACAACATTAATTCAATGTTTTCTCTAAATAAAATTTCTATTATAAGGTGATACAGTTATAAAAAATGAAAGCTATACATACAGTTGTGATGTACAGTAAAGCCTCGAATAACAACAGTAATGTGTCCTCCAATATTACAGTGTGAGGTGAATCATCGTATCGTGAATCATTAATGACCATTAAAATAAAGCAATAATAATGAGATCGTTCCCAAGTGTGACCTTTTCATATCTTTTGTGGCTTTTTACCCTCTTTTCCCCAAAACAATACAATTAATGAAAATTGCAAACTATATTCTTTAAATAATGTTTCTGATGCACCTATACAATATAAATGAATAATAATATGGTCACACAAGAGATGGGTAGCACTGTTTTTTGTTTGTGGTGGTCCGGATGATAGTTCTACGAGAAATGAAAAAGTATGACCCTTGTATGGCTGTAGTAAATTAATGTAAAAAAGGAATACAGGTTGACAACCCTTTATCCGAAATGACAAAAAAAAAATTGTTGAGCAATTTATTTATTTATTTTTTTTTATTAGCCCACCCTGGCACAGGTCACTGACCCATCGGGGCCTGGGGGGTGAAAATGTAATAGTAATAATAATTATAATAATACAGGTAATAATAATAATTATGATAATACGTACAGTAATAATAATAATTATTCATAGTAAATAAAATTTTTAATAAAAAATACGCAAAAATAAAATAAGAATGATAACAATAATAATAATAATAACAATAATAATAATAATAATAATAATAATAATAATAATAATACTGTGATAATGAAATAATAATAATAATAAAGAAATACAAGAATGAAAAAAAGATCAAAAGTGAGAAACATGACCTAGACCTATGAATTATTATTATTATTATTATTATTATTATTATTATTATTATTATTATCATTATTATTATTATTATTGTTATTATTATATTTTAGCCCCCAGGCCCCAATGTGGGTCAGTGACCTGTGCCCGGGTGGGCTGATCCCTGTAAAAAAACAAACAAAAAAACTAACCATTCTGAAATCCGAAAAATTCCAAAAACCGAAATGCATCTAGTCCCAAGGATTTCGGATAAGGGATTGTCAACCTGTATATATGTTTCAAGTAACGTTATTTAATGTTAATAAATGGAACAATAGAAGTAGCTAACCACTAATGGCAAAGAAAAAAGAAGATGGACTGGGAACGCCAACATATACTTGCGCATTTAAGGATACCGCATCATTTATCTTTTTTAAGAATATGTACAAAAGATTCATTATTGATTATTACTGAATATGTATTTGATTGAATTAATCTTTATATATGTGAAATGAACACTGCAATACATTAATAATATGTTGTGAGAGGTGGAATAATAGACCAGGTGCCTTGTAGACTTTACTCTTAGAGCGTCAGATGGTGACTGGCAACCGGGCGCTGCCACAGACAAGCTCACACCTCAACACATGGGAAAACATATCGTACGATGGTACTCCATTTCACAATCTCACATATGTAGAATATTAAAACACACATGAGGAGACAAGACGACATTGTTTTCGTGAGTGACGATGGTTCTTCATAAGAAACTGAGGAAAAGAAGACCCTGGTTGTAGCTGTAGTGAACTTAATTTAAAAAAAATTGAATACCTGTATGTATGTTTTTTGTCATGTTTTTTAATGTTAATAAATGGAACACTAGAAGTAGCTAACCACTAATGGTAAAGAAATAAAGCGAGACGATTGGGAACGCCAACGTATGAACAGTAAGTGTGTACATGTGAAAACATATCGCCATTTCTCTACATATGAATATGAAAGCAACACTTATTACTGTTCATATATGTTTTAAATATTATTTACGAATGTAAAACAAAAATTCTACTCACCTATGGTGGTAAAGTCTAAAACATAAAGACAGCCAATGAATATTGTGCGAGTTTTTACTCATGACGAAGTCATCAGGTTCAACTATGGCTGAAGCTGTAGCTTTCCATAAAGTTGTTGCTACAACTTTTAATGAACCTGAAATTGATGATGAAGCTGCTTATGATGCTGAATTTGGTGGTGTAGCTGAAGTTGATGGTTTAGGCCTTCGAATAATAAAGCTGTCGAAAGAACCTTGCACAGCTGCTTTCTTTTCTCATTATACATCTTTATGTAGAGGTCATTTGCGTTTATTTAAATTTTAATGCTTTGTTCTGTTAATGGATCCACTTCAGTAAATGTTTTCATTGCTTGCTCCATATAATATCCACAGACCTCTCACCTTTTTCATATTGTTTTAACACATCTAGTTTCTCGGCTAAGCTTATACACTTTCTATTAGTTTTTGAACCAACACTACCATCACTTGCTCTCTTGCTCATGTTGAATAGGAACGCACAAAATGCTGTAAGAAACCTGAGAAAGTTTTTCTCCTGTTCCTGTTCCAGATGCGTGAAAACAAAAGGTCCGCCAAGCTCCGACTGTTGTTTACCACTCATTAGCAAGGCAGCTTCTTTGCACAAAGCACACTGCATTTTTTTTTTATAATAAATATCGGGATTTAGTTATTATTTATATGAAAATGTAATTTTATTTTATTTTTATTATATTTTGGTTGTAAATACGAATGAAATAAGGATATAAATTGAATTGGGTCTTAAATTCACTAGGGTTTTAAATATGAAAAGTTGTTGGTCGAACCGTTGTTATCTGAGGCTTTACTGTACAGTTCTGTATTTATGGCATATAAGATGCACTTTTTGTAGGCTAATGAATCCTCCAGTTGCTGTCTCCAGTTGGCTAAATTCTACCTAACCCAACTCCAGAACTAAAAATATAATATTGCTTGCTTAAGCACATTACAGGGGATCCCTGACTTACGAACGCCCGTCAATACAGGTACCAATGGGGTTAAATTTGCAATTTACAATACACCCACCTCTTGTTTTACACTGGGGTTACGTTCTTGTAAACCACCGCTTAATTAAAAAATGTGTAAATTAAACATAATTTTCCCATAAGAATACATGTAAATGGTACAGGTTAGGGGAACCATCATATACCACACAGGGTACGAACAGTGCTCTCACTTAAACAAAGCAAACCTCCGACACACGCTCTCCTCTCTGAAGGCGGGTGATCACATTTAATTTCACGACCATTGCGATTGTTTTTTGTGCCTCTTTAGCTTTAGGTGCCCCAGAGGAGGCAGATGGACGTTTTCCAGACATGCTCAATGGGGAAAACGGCGTTTAACACTAAAAGGGTACGTGATAAACACACAATGCAAATGAGAGCACAGAGAAAAAGTAGTGCCGGTGTGAACTGAGAAAGTGATCCACTGGAAGCTTGCTGGACGTGGTCACAGTTGTTGTACAGAATACTTCATTATCATCATTATCTTCATCATTAGTAGTAATAATCTTTATTATTACATTATTATAATAATTACTATTATTAATAATAATATTAAAATCATTAATGTTGATATGACTGAGACTTTATAGTAATAACTTACAAGCACCTCGCCAGGCATCACACACTACTCCACTGCCAGGCGACCAGGAGAATACACACGGCAAATTTAAGCGGTGTTGAGCGCGTTATTTAAAAAATAGGTGCGCGTAAATTAGCTGTTGGTATTATTGAACAAACACGTTATTCCAAAAACTCTTAAATGAAATGCGAGTTACCTGTATTTTATTTACCTGATACCTTTTTTTTATTTCATTTACTCTATTTTGTCATTCTATTTCTTCTTTTGTCTTAAATTAAGTGACTAGATGTATATAAGGACTTAGTCTATGATAGAGTTGGATATTAAACATTGTTCTGTTAGTACCAGTATGCACACAGCATGTGTTTCGATTTACGTACACATTCAACTTAATAATGCCCTCAGGAACGGAACCTGTTCATAACCCGGGGACCCCCTGTAGTATTATTTTTAATTTCCCTACTGTAATTTAAAAGCTAATTATAGTAAATGTAAAAGCTTGATTTATAACTACTGTACTGATGATGATAACCCGAGACAACTAACATGTGTACGGCAGACACTCTTCAGAGCTAACCAGTAACCATTTCTGAACTGTTACAAGCATTACTATCTATGTCATACCTGCATCATTTATTACAAATACCTGATATAAATGAAGATTTACAGATACACTAACTTTCTTTTCACATTTGCATCTGTTAACATCACTGGCGGCATTGTAGCCAAGTTAGACTCTTCACTGTAACCACCAGGCTACCAGCCTAAGCTGTCAGGGGCAGATCAAGGGGGTCTTGGGGGTCCAGACCCCCCTTTTCATCAGGAAATTACAATTCTTTTTCTTTAATGCAGTATTTTACTCAGACCTTCTTTGCCTGTACAGTTGTCCCTCGATTAACGAGCACAATTCGTTCCAGGAGGTTGCTCGTTAACCGAAAAATTCATTAACTGAAACCATTGTTTCAATGGGTTTTTGGGTAATTGGTTCCAGCACACCGAAAATTACATACAAACTATTAATAAATGCAGTAAAGTACACTTACTTTGAGGTGTGCATGTAGAAGGCTCCTGGTTGATGATGATGATGATGGGAATTAGAATGGGGGTGGAGGAGAAGGGAGAAGACAAGGCATTGGGGTGGAAGAGAAGTCACCCCATGCCACCATATCACCCATAAAATTTTAGTTCACTTGGTGTAATTCAAGATTATTTTCTTTAAATCAACACTGCACTGCATTATATAGTCAATATGTAAAATATATTTCAAAATGACCAATAATTTTACTGGAAACACAGAAAAAAGCGTTTATATTGAAGAGTCTCAAACAAGATGTTCCTTCCTCTGAGT